CTAAAAATATAAGTTTTCTTACTTTGCAAACTTTACAATATAAACAGCGTGGCATATGGTGCGCTTTACAATTAGCCGGTTTAGATTCATCAGTGTTGATGGTCTTATCTTTTTCTATGATAGGAACGATTCGGTGTGTTTTTTGCGACTTGAGAGAATGTGCCACACTATTGTGTGCATCACAAAAGTTTGCACGATCCTCAACACAATACCATGTAGCAGAGACATCACATTCACTACACAACTGTTCTTCCTGTTTCGATGCCATGTAAAATGTAAACCACACAATGTTATGAATGAAACGTGCAAAAAAACTCCAAGTAAGCTTTTTTTGTTCGCCCTTCTCTTTTACGCCAGCACTGTTATCTTGAATAAATGTTTACAAAATGACAGAAAAAAAGCCCAAATGATCACAACAACGAAACGGAGCTTGCGGTTTTGTTGTTAGAAGAAACGAAAAAAAATGTGAATTTTATATAACATAAATATTGTAGTCGCTATAAAAATAATGGTTGCAATTCCATGGTAATATAACATATTTCACTAATTTCAATGCATTATGTTGGCAAATAATGCATGAAAACTCATGAAATAGGTTGCATTATCATGTATGGTGTGGGTTTGGATGATACTCATTAGAGATAAGGCCATCAGCCTCATTAATGCCCACACTCACACCCTCGACGTAACAGTCTAGATCAAAGTTCCATTGAATTAACACAAGCTACATATGAAGATTCTTGTTACTGAGATGAAATACTTAGATTGTGGTTACTCGACACACCCCACCACATCCTAAAATATAGTGCTATCATCTGACAAACCGAATCGTACCATTGACTGATCATTTATATGATTTGAGAGAAAATAGAACCAACTATATGTGGATATGTCTTATTTCAAAGTGATTTTACGTACGTAAAAAAGCAAATGAGGATGTCCATCTCAAAAGCACTTATTATTTTTGATTGATATGTAAGTTCGATTATCATCGAGATTTCGACATTTACAAAATTTGAATATCTCTCCTCCGCAGACGTTCTTCCAGTTTCGCAAAGCTTGTCGATAGTGTCATACCTGAATGAGACTGATTCTATCAAGAAACAATGAATTTAAGTTTGTAAGTTTTTGCAAACATGTTTTGTCAATCTTCTTTTACACATACAATTGATTTATGTCACTTTCGTAAAACTCTTTATTTGTCTAAAGTGTTTTTTCAGATTTTTTATGTTAATATTTTTCATTTTTACTAATCAATACGAAAGTTCATATTTTGCAGTATAATTGTAGTCATAGTCATCTTCGTTATCAAACCCAGTCGTCATCATCATCGTCAGAATGTTGATTGCTATAATGTTTATCAATTTCTGGACGACATCTAAGAAGATTTCTTTTTGATCGTATGTCTAGAAAATATGGTATTGTATTTAATTATGATTAAGTAAGATTTTCATCAAAGACCGAAGAAAATGAGGTAATTATCCTATGTATTTGATTCGACTCTCAATGTTATAAAAAAAAGCATATTCCAGATTTTATACTTTAAAATTACTAATAAAGTTTGATATTAATCAACTAGAAATCGATGATATAACTGAAGCTTGAAAGTTTATGCATTAAGTGTATCTATAGAAATTGGACGAGTAAAAACTGATCAATACGAAACTTAGCAGAAAATCTTTTTTATCAAAGGCTAACGACTACTTTCAGTAAAAAAAATTGGTTTATTCGAAAAGAATAAACTCAACAACTTTCAAAATATTTGTTTGCAAAGAAATTTATCATATCAGAAGATTTTTGTGAGGTTAAAAAAGATAATTATCAAAACATATGTTGAGTTTATTAAAGAATATATAGATCATTGTACACGTCTGTCTCATATGTAACACATTCGCAAATAACACTTCCATTTACAACAAATACATGAAGTTGATTATATGAGTTATCAACTTTTAATCTTTTCTTTTGTATTTGTATGACTTATTTCAGTCAATTATCACTTTCTTGTAACATTATTAAATCTATCTAATTAGTGTGGATTATACATTTACACCTGAAAGTTCGAACTGTTGTACTTTTCTTTTCAATTTCTTGGCTATTTTTCATTCACTTGCTACTCTCAATGATTGTCTAAATAGAATAATAAAAATTATCATCCAGGAAAAGATTTGAAAATAATAATTAGTATTTCATCTTCTTTTTTATTATTAGATGACAAATGATCTCTATTTTGCTCCTAATTATAAAAGTATGATTGACTTTACTTTAACTTCTTGTCTGTTTGATTCATTTCCAATAGGCTTGTGATTTGAAGTATTCAAACGAGATGAAAGTATCTACGATCGATTCGATTTCGATCTCTGATATTTATGAATAAATTCTGTTTATAGTATATTGTATTCATCACTAATATACAATTACTGAATATAAAATTTAAGAGTTACTTGAACAAATTGGTCTAAACTCACATGTAATCAGTTTCGACATTAGAAATTCCGTTAGATCAGTCGTGTAACATTGCTCGAAATCATTTCCTGAATGACAATGAATCCTTGTGAAAAGTGAATGAAGCTGCTGAATGATAAGAATATCAACTTGTTTACTCGATCCATAATAATATAGTTCACAATCGAATTTTTCTAGATGAGGTGTATAAATACAAAATATTTTAGTCAATTTTTGAAAATGTTCTAGTATCGATTGTTCATTAATGTTGCCTGTAACACGCAATTGTTTTAGATTAGGCATATATGGAAGTATTTTTTCGAGATCATTGGATGGATCGACAAGACCTATTCGTAACTGTTCAAGTGATATGTGACTCAAGTTGAAATTCTCTGATTCTCTGATAGATACTGGAAAAGTTGTTTCCAATCGACGTAAATTAGGTAAACTATTAAGTAAAGAAACCAGGCCTGATTGATTCAGAAAATTGAGAATAAGTGTACGAATTGTAAGATTTAGTGATTGATATTGTTTGTTAGGTATTATTATGTAGTAATAATTTCCAGAGAATCGACAAATTTTAAGCGATGGAAAATGTTTGCTGTCAAGAATATCATGTATAAATTTATTTTCGACTAAAAATGGAAGATGACAAATCGAAAATCGCTCAAGACATGGTAAGTTAGCAGTAAGTACCTATAATAATAATATATGTTCGTATTTTCTGTCAGTTTCTTAATAGTATGTGAAAAAACACACAATTATTCAACTTACATGATCGAGTTCACTTTTTGAGAGACAATAGTGATCGATTTTCAATGAACGTAGCTGTGTGTAAGAATGTAAATCCAATGCTTCCCAAGCAACACGTAATTCTAGACGAATGAGTTGATCTGGAAGAAAACTCATCAGATAAGTCAAATCTTCTTTTTGGAGAAATTCAATGACGATATTTAGTTTGACATCACGTATAATATGATTGATCCGTTGATTGTGGCCTATGAAACTATGTAAATCGATCGGTTTCATATATTTGAAGATTTCAAGAAAAATTTCATCCGGAAGCATTTCAAGCCGATGTAAAGACGATGTTAGACTATTATTCATGATAGTGACAAAGGTATCTTTAAAATATAAAATCTAATAAATATACTAGTGAAGTCAAACGGTTCTAGTAGAAATAAAAAAACAACAAACCATTGATATTACTCATCGAAAAAAAACTGCAGATATCATATTTACACCAATGAAAGATTTTTCATTCTTTGTTATATTTTATGATTGACAATCCGAAACTTCATCATAGTATTTAATTTATACATAATTCAATTAATTAATTAATTTAACATTGAGCAAGGTCGTAACTTCACTACTCTCAAAGTTTCATGAAATTATTATGATAATAGAGATCCTGTATATTTTCTTTTCATTTGTAGAATTGCGCAAATAAAGTGTTAAGATATCTGCTTATCTTTTAGCTTCTATTCAACATAGTACTTATCCATTGGTTGGTGTCACATGCAGAAGATTGAGTCTACCATTAAAAAGAATACGTTTAGTAATCTATGAAATAAATGTAGTCTTATTGTAGAACAGCCTTGACTTTTTTTACACATAAATCTCTATTAGAATTGTCAATGCGAAAGTCTTTATTATAAAAAGGCAAAAAGATTTGTTTTAAAAAAAAATATGAATTGTATATGGCGATAACAAAAAAAAACGAACTGGATGAGGTCTATCAAACAAATGCACAATGATTACAAAGTTAAGTTTAATGTTCGGATCCATTTTCTTTGAAAAGTTGCATCACGAAATTTCAATAGGATCCCAAATATAGCAATGAGATGAAACTATTGAACATTTAATAGTGTTTTTGTTTATATAACTATGCATATAAGTCAACATATTGGGAATTCAGATCGTATTCGGAACAAAATGAAATAGTATCCTTTAACAAAACTTGTATTTTGATTTTTATCAAAAATTTTTCATAGTAATAGCAACTAAAGTCACAAAATAGTTTTTTTTTTCGAATGCTAATGAAATAAATATTATTTGATGCTGAATTTCATATTCATGATAAATATATCGTTGGTTTTGATTTATTCGCGTTTATCTTGATTCAAATTGTGCTATTCGGCAAAGTGATGAAAATATAGGTCTTTAGTTAAGATTTTACGTTTATTTCAACTTAAAATATTTCTTGCTCATGCTTGAAATATCAAATGTTTTGAGTTTTTAATTTTTTTTCTTAGCAATACTATTTTCGTTTTTTTTCTCAGGACTGGATAATAATCTTGCTATCAAAACTCAGGTTCTTGCCAGTGGTCAAAGTAAGAGAATATTTGATGGCGGACTCTGACGTTGTAATAAAATAGCTTTTTCGTAAGATCTCTTACTTATTCATACAATCATAAGGAACATATACATATATTTTAATGGCAAAAATAATTATGTATGAAAAATCATTTACGCGGCGAGAATATTATGTATTTTGCGTCAAGTATTTTTATTTTCTTGTTTTTTTTTAAATTTTCAAATTTGAAAATCTGATTATGAGTGGTAGTATCAGAACGACGTATACTGGTGGTTCTGTGATTGTAATATCAACTCAATATGGTAGACATATTGAAGCAATTGTCACTGAACTTTCTGAAGCAACCATTCATCACCCTAATGATATGTAGTAACCAGTCTCGAATGCAAAGATTTATTCAATGCAGCAAAAAAGTTTGAATTTCATAACAAGACTCTTCAAGAAGTTTATAAATTTGTTATTTTTTTAAATTCAATAGTTAAGATGATGCTAATTTAAATTATATTGGTCTTGATAGCAAAATCGAATGTTTTGTTATTGGTCGTGGTTTTACTATAGTCACAATGAATAAAATTAAACTACATGCGGATAATCGAGCTAACTTTTTTGATGTTAATGATAATGTTTCAGCTGCACAAGTTTAAAATGCATTTGAATTAATTATCATTGATCTAAGACTATTTCAAAACATTGCTTTCGAAATTATCGGTTTATTTATTTCTTTTTTTGCGCGATTAGATATATAATGTATTGGTCAATATATTGTTTCTAGTCAATTGAAAATACAACCCTGTCATAATCATAATGCTGATGCTCTATTAGTAAGAATGTAATTGTTCAGTTAGTTATTATTATGAGTTTTTTTTTTCGAAATAGTCAAACTAACTCAGATTATTATTTTGGCTCGATGTACTTCGATTTCTGTTTAATATAAATTATCAATTTCATTTTCTCTTTCTCGATCATCTTTTCTTCAATACATCTATTTGATATAGATCTAGTCCCTAAATTTAATCATAATTAAAGAAGAATATTTTATTCATATAATATTTCTTGTTAAATCCTTTCATCAATCCAAGATTTTTGATATTCAGCGTTTTATATATAAATTCTAATGTCGTTTTCGTATAATTTCTAAATAAACCAGCTTTTTCCATTATCCAAATTAATAGTTATCGTGTAAAGTATTCCATAGAGTGGGTCCACGATCTGTATCATCATATTCACTAGACATAATTCCATCATTTGACCAGTCAAAATTATCATCATAATACTGAGTGCTGTTATATTTACGTATTACTTCAGTATATGCAGCATTAGAGTTGTTTGGTCTACAATAGTCTAAAAGACATTAAATTATATTTGATTAAAATCATTTGAGATTTCTATCAGTCAATTGTGTTTATCATATTTTGCATTTAATAACTAATGCAAAGTCATTCAATAAACAATTGAAAAGTAATCTAAAAAAAGTGGTCTATACTCACATGTATATTGCTTTGAAATTGAATGTTCCGTTAAATCTGTCGTGTAACATCGTTCACGAAAATTTCCTATATGGCATTGTATTGTTTTGAAAAGCGGATGATGTTGTTGTAAGATTCGAATATTGACTTGTTCATCTATTGGATGACAATAAAATTCACAATAAAATTTTTTTAAATTAGATGTATAAATACAAAGCGTTTTAGTCAAATTTTAGAAAATGTTCCGCTATCGAACGTCCGCTAGTGTTTCCTGTGACACGCAATTGTTTTAGATTAGGTATATATGGACGTATTTTTTCCAGATTATTGGTTGCATCTACTAGACCTATTCGTAGATGTTCAAGTGACATGTGACACATATTGAAATTCAATGATGTGTTGATAGATTCTGACAAACTTGTTTTCAATCTACGTAGATTAGGAAGACAATTGAGTAGAGAGCCTAGTATGGATTCACTCCATGTACTAAGAAAAAGCGTAGGAATTGTACGATTTGGTGATTGATAATGCATGTTAACGTCTGACATATAGTATCGTGTGCCAGAGAATTGAAAAACTGTAAGTGATGGAAACTGTTTGCTATCCAGAATACAATGTACGAGCTCTTTTCCAAAGGAATACGGGACATTGCAAATGGAAAATCGCTTGAGACATTGTAAATTAGTAGTGAATATCTACAACAACAACATGAGTTTCGAATTTTTTTTTGTCAGTTTCTCGATACCATGGTAAAAAAAACACCTAATATTGTTCAACTTACCTGAGAATATTGTTTTCTCAACATAAAGGTGCAATCGAGTTTCATTGAACGTAGCTGCGTATAAGAATGTAAGTCAAATGTGACGCAAAGCGAGCGTAATTCAAGATAAATAAATTGATTTGGAAGAAAACTCTTCATATAATTCAAGTCTTTTTTTTTTCTTCAGTAGATTCAATGATGATACTTAATTTGACATCATGTATAGTATGATTGATTCGTTGATTGTGTCCGATGAAACTATGAAGATCGATTGGTTTTATATATTTGAAGATTTCAAGAATGATTTCATCCGGAAGTAATTCAAGTCGAGGTGACATGGAAATTAGAACATTATCCATGATAGTGATCAAAATTATCTTTAAAATATAAAATTCAATAAATATACTACTATAATCGAATGGTTTTCCAACAAGTTGGAAAACAGAAACCCACTTGTATTACTAACAAAAAATCAAAGTTCATGTTTACATGTATCAAAAAACTTTTGATTTGTCAATTCTGTTTTGAGACTAATTACCACAGATTTCGATCGTAGCATTTAGTTCATTGAAAATAGAGATAATGTGCTATCTTTATGAGTTTTGGAATTAACTATATGAAAAATACCATAATTTATCTGCTTATATTATATCTTCTGTTGGACGCGTCTATTATTCATTGATCAGTTACATATTAAAAAAAAGATTCGAGATTGAATAGCAAAGGAAGTTTAGTTTGTCATTCAAAAACACACGATGAGTTATATCTGAATTGAATACCTTTATACTTTTCATAAGGCTTCAATACTTCACAATCACACAAAATTGTTATTAGAATGGCCAAATCGAAATGTTTTTGTAAAAAATGAAAAAAAATAATTGGTTTTTAAAATAAGCATGAAGCAGCAGCGAAGAAAAACTTCCTCAACGAAATCTTAGTCAATAGAATACGAAGGATCCTTTCAACATATGACTATTGAACAAAAATGTTAAATATCTACGAACAATGATAACATGTTCAGAAGAGTGTGGGTGTGAGTGTGAGTGTATTTACTTTATGAATCCATTCCTTGCCCATGTACCTCCATCTACATTCACTCCCCTATTAATAGCTGTAATATAATGATCAACGAGAAGACCGTAAAAATAAAAGTGGGTTTTAAAAATCAACAGGATTTTTTTTCTTTTATATTTTATCAACCTTGTTGTTCAGCAAATGAATTTCGTACGGTTTCAACAATTTTATGTGTAATGAGCTTGGTACCAGTTGAACTTATATGACAAACAAAACTTGGAAAACCTGGAATCAGTCGGAGTTCATAATATTGTCGATGTGATTGTGACTTTGATTTTGACTTCTTTTGTTGCACTGGATTAGGTTTTACTAAATTTAGTGCATGAATAATTTATGAATATTTGGTTGTGTAATAGTTGTCACCAATGTTCACGCCAGAATTAAAGTGAGATGGGGACGAAGTCAATATCTCGACAAACGCAATAATTAACGACCTGCGGTTCTCAGCAGCCGAAAGAGAAGATCGGGTATGGGTGAATAGCGTCTTAATTCATTATAGGTCACCCATCACTTCTTGAAAATTAAAGCCAACAGAATGTTTATTGTTTACAAAGAAAAAAATGAAATTATTTGAATAAACGAGCAAAAAACAAAAGACATTGAACTTTATTCTAAACAACTTTTTTTTTTCTTCAAGTATAACACGTATTTAAACTTGAACAGTAGTTAATTGATTTTTGTAATTGAGTATCAATATAGATCGTGGTCCAAACTCACCCAATGGATATTCAACGCCTATATAGATAAACAGTTGTTTAGAATACATGGTATTCTTATTAATACTAACTTACACTTCATCTTGTAAATAGTTAAAAACCAAGTCTTGTTTCGAAAGAACATGGCAAACTAGATGTTAACAGTAAATTTAATAGAATATAAAAAGAATTACTTACAGTATGTCCTTCTGGATAATTAAATTTTCCATCATATACACGCAAAAATTCTAAACCTAACTCATACATTGTTGATGATTCTGTGCCATTCAATAGATCAACAATTTTTTCAAATTTCTTTTTCCTATGAGCAGAAATCAATTAAAAACGAGAACATTATTTCAATATTCTTACTTTCGTTGAATGCGTAAATAAATTGATTCGATGATACGTCGTTGACGAACAACTCCTGTTAGTGGTCGAATAAATCTTTTAAAAAGAGAAGATCAATATCAAACAAAAACGACTAATTATTTACTTACGAAGTATATTGTACACTACTTCGTGTACTATATTCATTATTTTGATGATTACGATGTGGTACAACTGATGGTGTTGTTAATGAATGACAACCATTATCAACTACATTTTTCTCTGAAGAATTAGAGTTTTCTTGTAGTTGATGTTCATTATTTTCGGCTTTGAAACCTGGCAAAGATTTTGACATATTCTCTTTGTTTTCTTTCACCTCTTTCAATTGATTGAATTTATAAATAATATACTAACCAGAGAGATAACCATCGAATGATCTTAAAACATGTTGAATTCGTTCATCGAGTGTATAACCCATATCGACCCATGAAAGCTCATTAATACGAGTTATGTATGTATTTAATTGTTTTTCTACTTCTTCTGAATGATGTTTATCATTCACTATTGTCCACTTTGCAGTTAATATACTATATTCAAGTTTAAATTCATATGTTCCATATCGATATATACAATTATAACCAATGAGTTTTTCTTTTTCTTTTTCATTAATTGTAACAGCTTTCATAGAGAAATGTTCATTCAGTTGGTTGTACTTTCGTAAACATCCATAATCAACGACTTTATGACCTATATTTAAGAGAATAAAGATCGTTTAATTAGGAAAAAAACAAGTTTGAAAAATTATCCAAAAATCATACTTACGTTTTTGACATCTATCTATCCATGTCACCAACCACGGATCACAGTATTGGATTTTGATTCTTTCCATCAAGTATACTAAACAAAATGAATGAAAAGACAAATGCTTAAAATGAATGGTCTGTTGTATTTATGCACATTCGCGCATACATACTAATCTATTTGAATATGCAACGTGCTTAGTCCAACTTTTATCTGTTTTTCGTCTTTAAAATTCGGATTAAATAAATAACATTCATTAGGGTAAAAATGTTTGAGAAGTCAGACGATACATTCTATGCATGTCTACTGATAATACAAAATATTATCATAAATTTGCATGCTTTATCTTTTAACGTAGGTTAATAACTTAAAAAGAAACAATGCAAACTCTGATTTAGATAATGAGGAAAGTTTTATGTACGATCTGAAAAACCTATATCTTACAGATTTAAGTTAAAACTCACACGTATATCTAGAAAATGAAAATAACAATACATTCTAAAAATTTTTAATTTTCTTTAAACCTTCTTATGAGAAGGGCGTTGATATAGGCGAAGAGAAGATGATACCCATACCCCAAACCCACAGACACAGTCACACCTTTTTATCTGAGTAAACAGTAGCGTAAATAGGGGGGGGGGCGCGTGGGGCGTTACGCCCCCCCTGCTTCGGAAAATTACTAGAAAAAAAGGGGTTTACGCCCCCCTGCTTTTGAAGATTCCGTTGTTTTTGCTCATCAAAATAGAAAAAAAGGGGTATACGCCCCCCTGCTTTCGGAAATTCCAGTTTTTCGCTCATGAAAATTTTCGTTAGTTTTGAAGGAATAAATTTTGGGATTAGGCTGAAGGGGAGTAGGGGCTTTTTTTTTTTTAGTGTTCACTTTGGATTTTTGGGAACCTCTCCACTCTTGGAAACAATCGACAACCTTGATTATGGTCCCCTGTTTCTGCAAAGTTTATTTTTTTGGTGGTGGAAATAAAAAATTAGTATTACGCCCCCCCTGCTCTGACATCTGACTTACGCCCCTGTGAGTAAATACTCAAGAAAATCCTTGTGTGGCTAATATTTCAGCTCTTTAGCATGATATGTTCATGAGATATGTATATACACAAAATATGACAATTTTATCATCTACTTGCCTATATTTCTCAACATATTAACAATTGATCCACTTGAGACAATTTTGTTATGTGAAGCATCTTTGCCTCGGATGTAGTCACAATAAAAATTTCAAGCTAAATAGATATATTCTTGATATATAAATGCCACAAAATTCACCATAAATATCCTTTTTCCAAGATAATGCCAATATCTCAAGAATGGAATCCACAGAAATTCGTGCAACACTTGTACTATGACATATGTAAAAACTAACCAAATCGATGATAATTGATTGAAAAGCTTTTTTAGGACAGGGATATTATTTGAGAGAATCAGAACTTCTTAGGCATCCTTTATCATTGAATGTATAAAGAATATTCACAATTTTAACCTTACAATTATTTTCTTTTTGTGAAAGACAAATGAACAAGGGAGAAAAGGCGGATTTCGGATTTTCGAATTTGTTTGGAATTTTTGAGATTTTTCGAATTTTTTTGGATTTTTCGAATTTTGATAATCCCAAAATCCACCACCGGTGTCCTGTTGCAAATAGAGGAATTTCGAGCTGAAATTTTTGCCATATGTAGGCCTTGTGGTTCTTAAAATATTCTAGAAGTTTCAGTGCAAATTGATGTTTTCTTCTGAAGATAATGTGATCGCAAGAAATACTCATATTTCACACCTCGGTCAGAAAATCCACTTTTCTTGGAAATTGATTATCTTGAGAAGGAAACATCCGTTTGCAATGAAACTTTTAGGATATTTTAAGGACTGCAAGGTCTACATATGGTGAAACTTTCAGCTCAAAATTCCTTCATTTATGACAGGACATTGCTGGTGGATTTGGGGATTTCCTCGATTTTTTAGGACTTTTCATGGATTGGCAATCCCGCAAATCCGCCTTTTCCCCTTTGCTTCAGGAATAGTTGATAGTAAGACAATTTTAGAAAAATCTTGAAAAATATCTTGTAGAACATGATTGTTGTTCACGGGTGGTGATGGTTTTAATCATTTAGATTTTTATGTATGTTCTTTAAGACGTTCTTCATGTTTTTGATGGAGAAGTTGATAAAAGTATCGAATACTATCACGACAACCTGTTTTTACTGTGTAATTATGATCATCGGCTTCAAAGCAAACAAGTCTTTTAATGTCGTTTAAGGCCGAGCATGAAATCGAAAGAATAGCAAATACATGTTCCATATTGAGAAACAAATATACAATTCGAATTCCTTGAGCTTCTAGCAATTTTGCTTCGGCTGATCCAGTGACTTTTTCAACCACTTTGTAAAAATCTGCGTCGCAAAACGAAAGTATACTCAAGCAGACAAATATTTTCAAAAATGTGTTTAAACGTATGAAAAAGTGCCATTAAAATATAAAAAGTAGACGTTTTTTGCTCACAATGGCGATCCCCGACTGTGAGCTAAAAACGCCCATTTTCCCCCTCTTTGTGCGTTTAAACGCGTTTTCAACGAGAACACGATTGTAAAAGCGTATAAACGCATAAAAAAAACACTAAACGCAGTTGTCTTCTTCACAACCGTAAATCACCATCATGATTATGATAACAGCTAATGAAACTGAAAAAGACAACTGCGTTTAGTGTTCTTTTTATGCGTTTATACGCTTTTACAATCGTGTTCTCTCTGAAAATGCGTGTAAACGCACAAAGAGAGGAAAAAATGGGTGTTTTTCGCTCACAGTCGGGAACCACGATTGTAAGCAAAAAACATCTACTTCTTATATTTTAATGGCACTTTTTCATACGTTTAAACACATTTTTGAAAATATTTGTGTGCTTGGGTATCAGCCGGTAAGATGGAAGTGTCAAAAGAAAGGTTCTGAAGAGACATTTATAAATATTAGATTCAGAATAAAGAGAAATATCATCAACATCCCATTGAAATAATTGTAATTTTGAAAATATTGAGATAGAAAACTATATCCTCTTTTTAAGAATGCATCTAAAGAAAAATATAATTCTTGGCGTTTCTTGATTTTCCAGCTAGAACACTCAAGCACTCTTGGTGGTATAGAACATTAGTATTTTAACCTTTGTCGATGAATTAACATCACCAGTGTCTTTATTCGAGTACCACACCCTCGATAAATAATGGAACACACAGAGAAATTCATCAATCGTTCAATTTTATTTATCAACAATAGCCTAAGCACATATCTGATATTAGATGTCATTTTGATGGAATAGTGCTACTATTCGGTATACTGTCTTTATGGAACTATAAGTTTTAAAACACCAGGAGATTGAATGAACACTATTTTTATAAGAAAAAGTCGGTTAATCGCAGGATTGCACTTATCCGTGTATAGTTATCCTTTAAAACAATCATAAAATTCTAATCATTTCAATCTTAACTCTGGGATTCACATGGGATTTTTGGAATTCTCATGGCATTTTCGGATTCTCATAAGATTTTTGGGATTTCTCGGATTTTTATTGGGATTCAAAATCCTGAAAATCCGCCTTTTCCCCCTTGCAAATGAATTTCACAAAGTTATTTTGAAAGAGATGGAAAAATATAAATATATATATATCTCGCAAAACAGCTAATGCATCATTATCTCATCGTTTCACTTGTGGGCAGCTCAATCGTGTTAGATCATTTGTGAAGTCATTTGTCACAGTTATTAATTGTTCATATCGTATCATAAATGTAATAAGACAAGGAACACATGCATTTATAATGACGTAGCAATTGATTAGTATAATCAATGTGTGGATATGGGTGTTGGTGAAGATATAAGTTATGGTTTTCTCTACACTCAAATCTGCATTCAAAGCCACATCCTTGCATCCTAGTTTTTTCGAACTTCGGTCCTTGTAAATTCGTCAAAGTATTTATTTCATTTGGATCAGTATGATTTTTTAAAATATTTTAGTTGCTTGTTTCGTTTTGAATAAAATAAATCAAATTACATTTACTCCAATGAAAGTCAATATTTATCGATAAGAGAGTATCGATTTAATTATGTTTGTAATACTTTTCTCTATGATATTTCTTGTAGATTGTACTTCTATTTATTCATATGAGAAAAGTAGACGACATTTTTAGATTTGACAAAACATTGCATTGCGATATTGATAAAAATTTGCAATAAAGCATTAGAATCTATCAAGCAATAAAATATTAAAAAAATTATGAGAAACTTCTCGTCAAAGTAAAAGGTAAACTAACTAGAAATAAGGAAAAGTCCTCTAATATGACTAAGAAATTTTTAAATGGATTTTGAAATAACTGAGAAACTAGGAAGTAAATATTCAGATAATATCAACAATTATTATCCTTCAAAAAATGAAGTTTCAAGTTAAATTCAGAAAATAAAACAAACAATACATACATTATTAAGAAGCTTCTGAAAATACCGATACACATCAAACAAATTCAATCCCAATAGATCGACCAATTATAAGAAATTTTATCGATGCATATTCTTCAATTCTATTGAAATATGCATTATCTATTCAAAATTCTTCTCATGCCTTTTTTCTTTTTTTGTAAATGATTTTTGGATTCCATATGATTTGTCAATTGCAATATTTGAATTATATCGTCGAACATATTTTTATTGTATTTGATTTGCTGTTTTTTCTTTCATCTGGTTCAAACAATATCATATGGAAATGATCGATTGAAAGCAATATAGAAAGTGGTAATTAGTTTTCTTTCTACTAAACTCGAATTATTTTATTTCAATTGTTGTTTGAAAATTTTCTTGGCAGTCATTCTTGTGTTTCAAGGCTAGCGAGTAAAATGCTAC